TTGCCCCCACCGACCCCAGGCCCCTCCTTGAGCTCCCGCTTCACTGCGAGACTCCACCCCTGGCAGCATCTATCCAACACCTCACTGCTCTCTGGCAGTGAGGACCTCCATCCCTGAGAAGCCTCCTTGCTGAAGTGTAATGTGGCCTAGACCCTGCCAGGGCCCCTCACCGGCCTCCCCGCTTCTCTCTTCCGCAGAGGTGGGCTTACTGTGAAGTTAATGAAACTTATGCTCAGGCCTCTCACTTGCACGGCCCCTGTGAGGATTGGGGGTCGCCGGAAGTAATGAAGTGTTGTAGGAGGGAGGGGCAGCCAGGTTACACTCAGGAAACATTTCTCTCTAAGTGTTTCTGGCAAACTGCCCACAGAGATGTCAGAAGGACCCAAATCTCCAGGGTTCCAGCAGCTCGTCCTGCTTTTCTTTCCCATTCTCAGTCAATATTCACTTTCATATGAATTTTGTATTCTTTTTTCTAAAGGGGACCCTTTCTCTTTTTTTTTGGCCGCACCATGCAGCATGTGGGATCTTAGTTCCCTGACCAGTGATCAAACCTGCGCTCCCTGCCTTGGAAGTGCAGAGTCCTAACCATTGGACCGCCAGGGAAGTCCCTAAAGGAGACCCTTAAAATTGGACTCGCCCTGCTCTTACTCCTTGCAATCCGCTCTCCAAGCTGGCCAGGCCATCTCGCTAAAGCAGCACGTGGTCATCACACACCCCGACACCCCTTCTGTGGCTCCCGCTGCTCTTGGGGAAAATGTGAAACCCCTCCCCTGTCCTGGCGATCTGGCCCCAGCCCACTTCCGTGACAGCATCTCCCACCACTGTGCCCGTTGCCTCCTGGGCTCCAGCCACACTGACCCGACCCCTCCTCCATCTCTCAGGCCACTCAGGAGCCTTGAGACCTGCCTGGGCTTCACCACCACCCCATGTCCTGGGAACTCGCCCCCCACCTTCAGGATTGGTTTCTGCAGCTCTTTCTCAGCGAGGTCTCTCTGAACTCCAGACCACATCACACACCTCACAACACCTGGACCCTCCACTGATGCTGACCACACCTGCTTGAGGTAACCCTGCTCTGACCCTGGAGGCCCTCATCTCATTCACCCAGTTGCTCAGGTCCCAAATCAAAGAGTTCCCAGGATTCCTCTCTTCCTCTCAAGGCCACATCTAATTGACCAGGAAATCTTATCAATCTCTCAAAACATGTTCAGAATCCAACCACCCTGGCCACCTCCACGGCCACCACCCTGGTCCAAGCCCCTGTGCTCTCATCTGGGTTGTTTCAAATGCTTTCAAACTGGTTTACTGTTTCTAAACTGTCTATTCTAGAAACAGCAAGGAGAGGAATCCTTTAAAAACGTAAAAGTCAGGGCTTCCCTGGTGGCGCAGTGGTTGAGAGTCTGCCTGCCGATGCGGGGTATGCGGGCTCGTGCCCCGGTCCGGGAAGATCCCGCATGCCGCGGAGTGGCTGGGCCCGTGAGCCATGGCCGCTGAGCCTGCATCCGGAGCATCCGGAGCCTGTGCTCTGCAACGGGAGAGGCCACAACGGTGAGAAGCCCGTGTACCGCAAAAAAATAAATAAATAAAATAAAAAATAAAAACGTAAAAGTCAGATTATGTCACCTCCATGTGCAAACCCTCCACTAGCTGCCCATCACAGGGGAATAAGTCCCTAATGCTGGCTGTGGCCCTGAGCCATCTGGTCCCTGCCCGCCTCTGTGACCTCATTCCTGCCACTCCATCCTCTCTGTGAGGCTCCAGCCATGCTAAATTTCCTGCTGTTCCTGAATTCTCCCAGCTTGTTCCCACCTCAGGGCCTTTACCCGCGCCGTTCTCTCGGCCTGGGGTGTTCTTCCCTCAGCTTTCCGCTTGGCCTGCCCCTGCAGTGCATTCAGGTCTCCTCAAAGAAGCCTTCTGTGGAAGGCAGCTTCTAAAACGGCCCCCTGAGGACCCCCACCCTCTGCCATGCCCTTGTGTAATCCCTTTCTCTAAAGGGTGGGCTAGACCCAGCGACTTGCTTCTAACCAATAGAATACAGCAAAAGAGTGGGATGTCGCTTTTAACACGGGGTTACAGACAGTGACTCTGTCCTGCTCATCTTCTCTCTGTCTCCCTGACTTGCATCACAGAGGGAAGCTGGCTGCCATGTCGTGGGCTGCCCTATGGAGAGGCCCACGTGGCAAGGAACTGAGGGAGACCCTGGCCAATAGCCAGAGAGGAACTGATCCCTTCGGTCCACTAGCCCGTGATAGACTGAATCCTGCCAACAGCAATGTGAGTGAGACTGGAAGTGGATCCTGCTCCAGTCGAACCTTAGGACGGCACCACAGCCTTGGGTGACACCTTGACTGTGGCCTGTGAGACTCTGAGCCAGAAGACCCAGCCAAGCTGCACCTGGATTCCCACCCCCCAGAAAAAGCGAGACAATAAGTGTCTGTTGTTTTACGCTGCTGTTTCAGGGTCATTTGCTACACGGCTGTAGATAACAAATACACCCTCCTTCACCCCTGTCACTCTATCCCCATACCCAACTTTTTTTTTTTTTTTTTTTCCAGCACCAGTTGCTACTTGTGCATCTTGCTCATCCTCAGTGTTTGCCCCAGAGCCTCGCCCCATGCAGATGTTCAGTAATAGGGGAAGGAATGCAGGACATCAAGTGGGACAGTGCCATAGCTCAGAAAACCCACAGATGCGGGGGCTCAGGAGGGAGGAGGAAGGCTCACCCCAATCCCAGGTGCTCCAGAGGTACCATTCCCTCTCAGCAGGGACTGGGGCTCAGGTTTCCCACCTCTTCAGAAGGATGCTGTTTCAGGCCCAGGATTTGGGATCTCATGGTCCGTAGCAAAACAAGTCCAGCTTCATGCCCCTGTTGCAGACCCCATACCTTTTCGATTTCCTCTGCTCTCTGCACTTCAGGCCTAGTTCTCTTTGTTTGGTAGGGTTCACTAGAGTGATCTAATTTTTACACCCTTGTCAGATTTTTCACAAAAATAATAGATAAGAAAAGAATACTATTCCAGCCCACGTGGCCCAATTTTTGTTTGGAAAACAGTCCCTGTGCCCTTAAAAAGGAAAGGACTGCCAAGTCCTATCTCCTCCCAGCCCTGTCCCCACCGGGTCCTGGGCTGTGTGGGGGGCTGGGAGGCCAGGGAACCTTCCAGCAAAAACATCAGGCCCGAGTTGGAACCCGGTGTCCAGTCTGGCTCTGGCAAGGGGCTGACCTTGTGCTCACCTAACTGAGCCATTTCCTCCTAGACTGGGGCAAATTTCCTGCCCAGAGGGAACCAAGCACACTCCCAGGCAGAGTGGGGCCGGGTTCTGTATTGGGGGAGGGGCATCCACAGCCACTCCCCCCCCCTCAGTTACTCTGGGGCTGAAAGGCCCCTCCTGGGGGTGGGATGGAGAGCAGAGGATCAGAAGTTGGGCTCGAACTGTCTGTTGGTGGCCATTCCTGGAGGAATGAGCTGAAACCGCCCCGTCCGGCCTTGGGGCCAGCCTGTCCCTGTATCTCAGGTGCACCCAGGGTGGGGAGTGGAATCTTAGGCCAGACTCTGTCTGCTCCAAAGCAGTAGACTTCGGGTGACCACGGTGGGCTTTGCTGAGAAGTGGGACCCATTAGAGCCTGGAATCCTCGAAGAACCTTCTCCAGGTCCCACCTCCTCCCTGGTGCCTCCCCTGCCTCTCCCAGACAACCTGACCCTCACAACCCCTTTGGAAGCCCCCTGGCTGGCAGTCTCCTTTGCTTTATGGGGTCCCTCCTGAGTTGGGGCCCTCAATCCCCATGGACACAAACTACTTTGTGGGCTGGGTGCCTGGGCCAGGAGAACATGGGTGTGGGTAGAGCCTCAGGCTAACCTGGACAGAAGGTGGTGGGAACAACATTCCAGAACCTACCAGGAATGGACCTGCCATATTTTTTATGCCCACCTCTGTTAGTTTCCCTGGCCTCAATTCTTCAACAAGAAGTGGGGAGCAGGGAACATGCACAGCACTTGAACTCTGCGGGTCAGGCTACCTGATTCAAATCCTGCCTTGCCACTAACTAGCTGTGTGTCCTTGAGCAAGTTACTTAGTCTCTCTGAGCCTCGGTTTCTGAATCTAAAAAGGGATGAGTACCTGCCTCTTGGGGCTGATGTTAAAATGAAATGAGATAATGAAAATGCTCAGCGCAGTGCCCAACACATGGTTCTGACAGGCTCAGAGAGGGGCAGTGGCCTACCCAAGGCCACACAGCAGGTAAGCAAAGGAGCTGGTATCCAACCTTTTTCCATATACTCTGTGGCCTTCATGAGCTGGGCCCTGCAGGGGATACAAGGCCGAACAGGGCTGAGACGGGAAGGATCCTCGTGTCAGGGTCAGAGGCTGGGGACCAAGGGCACCAACAGAGGCCTAGGCATCATACTCCCTCCAGTTGTTTCTTAGCCTAGGATGGGACAGGATGCGGGCATCATCCACCCAAGAAGCAGGTGAGTCCCAGACCATGTGCCCATCCACGCCACTGCATCCCTGTCATGTCCTCAGCCACGTCAATATTAAATTCCTGAACCCCAGGGACCCAGCTGGCCCATATCCCAGGAACTTGCCTCAGTCGGAGAGCTCTGTGGCCTCAGAAAAGCCTCTTCACCTCTCTGTGTGTTCATGATTCTGAGATAAATCTGAGAGAATCATCTTTACTGTTTGTGGAAAGGGCAAGGGAGGTTGGTGAAGGAGGAAGCCATTCTGAGGATACAATCTCTCCCCACCCCCCAACGCTCCGGGAAGGCAGGGCTGAGGGGCTGTATCCATTGCCCACCCTGAGAAAAAGAGGGTTAACCCAGCAGCCTCCATGCGCCCCCACCCTCTGAGGGGCCCAGCCCCAAATCCTCCCTCCCTCCCGGGGGCCCCCAGTGCTCCAGGTGGGGGGCAGTCCTGCCGTTCTGCCGCCAGGCAGCATCCTGGGGTCAAGCCCTCCAGGTGAGCCTGGGCGGTTCTGAGAGACTCCAGGTCCTTGCTGAGGTAAGTCAGGAGGGGGCCGTCCCCCGCGGCTGGGCAGGTGCCGAGGGTGAGGGTCGGGGCTGGCTTGGAGCTGACGCGGAAGGCCTCTGGGATGGGAAATCCTGAGGGCAGGCAGGGAGGAAGGGATGGAGGGTGCCACTCAATTCCCCCATCCCGCAGGGGGACCTCAGCCTTCCGATTTTCAGGACCTTCCTCCCGTTCGGGGTCCTCTGGGGCACTGGATAGGGTGGGGGGCGCCCGCCCCGTTCCCAGTGACCCTGGCTACCGAGGGGTCAAAAGTTAACCCCAGGTGGGAGAGGGGATTCCAGCTGTCTCCGACCTCCACCCCAAGGGAGGTCACCCGGCTCTTCTGAAAACTTGCCGAGGCTCCCAGGGCTGTCTGGAGTGGGGCTTCAGTGTCTGGGGCACGTTCAGGGAGGGGGTGCCCACCTGTATCTGGCAAAAATCAAACAGGGTGCGGGTGCCCAGCAGGCACCAGAACTCGCCCAGCAGGGAGGTGAGGATGCCCACGAGGTCCAGCCAGCGGCCCACGGTCAGCAGCAGCAGAAAGAGGCCGCACATGCGTACCAGCACCGTCTGGACCTGGCTCTGCAGGCCGGGATACCGCTGCTGCTCCTCTGCAGAGACACGGTCCCTGTCACCGTCCGCCTGTCTGCCTGCCCTGAGGTCCAGCCGAATCGGTTGCCTGGACCCCCCCAGCTCCCCCTGCCGCTCTCCTCAGCGCGTGCCTTCCCCTCCCCAGGCAGCCCCGCTCCCTTCCTTCTCACCCACCCCAACTCCGGGCGCTTCCTCCTCCCAGGCCTCACTGCCCACCCCCAGGCTCCCCCTGCAGTCAGGACAGGAAGTGTCCTGACTCCTCTTTCCTGCACTCCCTCGTCCGATCCATCAGGAAGCCCTATGAGCTCTTTCTACCAAGCAGATCTGGGTCCCAGCGCCCTTCATCTCTCACAGCAGGCTCCTCACTGGGCTCCAGTCTTCTGACCTTGACCCTACAACTCAGCGTGTACTCAGCGGCCGGTAGCCTTCCCAACACACTAACGAGGTGAAATCATTCCCCTGCTTACAATCCTCCCAGGATTTCCCACTGCATTTGGAGTAAACTCCAAACTCCTCACCTTGGGAGGTTCTGCCCCATGTGACCCAAGCCCCCTCTCCGACCACATCTCATCTCTGACTTGGTCCCCCTTGCTCTCTAGGCCCAGCGATCCAAGTTTTCACCAAGCATGCTAGGTTCATTCCCACCACAGGGCCTTTGCACCTGCTGCTCTGCCTGCCTGACTGCCCTTCCTTGTCCTGACTCTTCCATCCCATCCCTACCCTGCAGCCAGGTGGCTCCTCCTAGGGCCCAGATCTGATCAGGTCACTTTCCCCTGCTTAAAACTCTGCAATGGCTTCTCATCACACTGCCTTGCCAGGATGATGACAGCTCTCCATCAGGCCCCTGTGAACCCAGCCAGCCTCATCTGCTCCACTTGCCTCCGTGACAGCACTCCGTTTTCATGCCTTGTCTCACTTCTGGGCTTTGGCATTTATGGTTCCCTCTGCCAGGATCTCCTTTGCTCCCTCATCTCTCCCAGGGGCTCCTGCTTATCCTTCAAGGCCCAATTCAAGTTCTGTGTCTCCAGGCTCTGCCTGCACGCTGCACCCTTACCTGAGCTGCCCCACTGCATGGCCCCTGCTAGCAGGCTGGGTGCTCTGCGATGGCAGGGGCAGGGTCTGAGTGTCGTCGGCCTCCCCAGGGCCCAGCACAGTGCTGGGCCTGGGTCAGACGGTGGGATGTGAGTGTCGAGTGAATGAACTGCCGCCCGCGGCCCTCACCCTGCATATAGATGACCAACAGAGTGTAGCAGATGGTCAGCGGCATCCAGAAGCGCACAGCCTCCGAGGTGGTCAGGAAGTCCCGGTTGAGGAGGATCACGGCTGCCAGGTTGCCCACTGCAAAGGTCACGGCCAGGGCGCGGCCCAGCAGCCGGGGGAGGCCGCAAGCGCCAGCCAGCAGGCCCAGGCAGACCCCACAGTAGCGCTGGCTACTGTGCAGCTCGTAGAGCTGGCAGACGTGGCGGTGGAGGCGCCGGGTGCCCGAGCGGAGCAGCGCGGCCAGCCCCAGGCCCAGCAGCAGGTTCAGCGTGCGGTGCGGGGCACCCTCCTGCAGGAAGCTCAGGCTGCAGGTCAGCGCGCAGCCCAGCGAGTACTGGCACAGTAGGTACAGCTGCAGCCTCTCGGTGCCCCGGGCGCCCTGGGCGGGGGAGGTGGCAGAGAGGGGCCACGATTGTGTGCGCTCAGGCCACTCCTCACCGCGCGGGGACCCAGAGGGTGTCAAGGTACAGGTGATCCACTCTGTGGGAGGCCGGGGCCCGAAGGAACCTCAGGGGCTGTTCCCGAAGAGGGAATATTGCCTTCAGGTCAAGCCCTACTGGGATCATTTCTTTCAGCTTAATTTCAATCACGACTATTACTTGGGACCCATCTGCTTGCCGAAGGGTGGTGGCTCAAAGCCTTCGAGGCCTGGGTTCAAGGCCCGACCCTACTTCTTGCTGGTTGTTGGCCACAGATAAGCCACGTAGCATCTCTGAGCCTTAGTTTCCCATGTGGGAGATCGGGATCACAGCAGACTTTTACCCCCTGTGGTTCTGAGAATGAGATGATGCACTCAAAGCATCTAGCACCGTGCCTGGCTCACGGGAAGCTCTCGACATCCGGGAGCTGCCGTGTTATCTTCTTGGACTGGGGTGGTGTCCACTCTGAGTGGAGACTCGGCTTTGGCGATGACAACCGGGCCCAGTTTCCTGTATTTGGGGGTGAAAACTAGGGCCCAGGGCCGGGCAGTCCTCACCCACCACCTGCCTGTGGTCTTACCTTGTCCAGGGAAAGCAGCATGGAGACAGCCCGGAGGGAGAACTCAAGCACCACGAGGGCGGCCACCCGGACCTGCACGACGGTCAGGATCAGGGCCAGCCCTGCCAGGTGCACGGTCTCCAGCGAGGCCCACCGGACCCGCAGCCGTTCCTTTTCAAGCCGCCGCTCCGGGTCACTGTGGAGGCACAGGGGGCATAGGCAGAGGGGCAGAACCACCAGCCTCGTCCCTGGAGGGGGTCCCGGTGCCCCCCAGCCACACCCTGGGGGTTAGGGACGGGTGGTCTCTCCCTCCCAGTCCTGCCCTCGGAGGAGGCCAGAGTCGCATGCAGTGTGGGCTCCAGGGGCTGGGAGGGGGCCGGGGAGGCGGGCACTCACTTGGTACAGCCCACGAAGAAGTAGGCCTTCAGGAGGTTGCTCAGGACGGAGACTCCGCAGGCCCCGACGAGGCCTGACGGGGTTAGTCGGGACGGTAGGCAGTTTGGTAGGGTTAAAGGAGGGGGCGGTGGGAGACGCACGTGGGTGGGGTTCGTCTTGCGCCGGGCTTGTGCCCCGGAGGGGGCGGGGCTGAGGGGGATGGGGGAGGGGCTCACCTTGCAGGAGGGCGTCGAGGAGGCCGGAGCCCCACTCAAGGGAGGGGAGGCTGGGGAGCCAGGAGGGGAGGGACAGCGGGGAGAACATGGCCGCCAGGATCCAGCCCCAGCCTCCGGCCTGGTCTGCGCCAGAGACACCGCAACGTCACCACCACCGGGCAAAGGTGGTGGTAGGCGAGGGGAGGGGCTGGGAGGGGTCAGAAGCCCAGGCGAGGGGAAGGGAGGGAAGGGGAGGGGAGGAGAGACAGGGCCTTAAACCTCTGGGCTGCGGGGTTAAGACCGCTGCCCAGGGGCTCCCCATTTGGGCAGCATGGGGTGGGGGGCATCTCTGGGTGGGCTGGTCTCTGTCCTGCTTTTCTCAGGACAGAGACCAACCCACCCCTGGGCCTTCTTCTGCCCTCCCTCAGCCTCCGGTCTGGGTCCCGCCCTCAGCCCAAGGTCTGGAAGCGGGGGCTTCGATCTCCCCACAGCCTGAGGTCAGGCTCTGCTCTCTCAGTCCAAGGTCTGGAAGGGGGCGTCTATCCCGCCACAGCCCGGGGCTGGGATCCAGCTCTGGGCCCTCCCCTCCTGCGCCGTAGGGCAGCCCGCCTTGACGATCCTCCCCGTGTCCACTAGGTGGCAGGCCTCACTTGGCCTGCGGGGCGGGGCTGGCTCGCCCCAGTTCTTTTGGATCCGCCTTTCTCAGACCGAGGAGAGCGAGCCAAAGGTGTGGGTTCGGGGGTCGGGAGGCTGAGGCTGCCAGCAGAGGGGAGTCGTTCAAGTAGACAAAATAGAAAACTTTATTGGTTTGGAGTGTGCAGTAGGGCTGTCCCTGGGGAGCAGCCCTTTGCAGACATGGGGTGTGGCAGGGAAGGTAGTTCAGGCTGCTTGACCTCTTGGCCAGTCCTGCCCCTCGGGGACTCAGCATCCACCTCTGTAGCACAAAGGTCGGTGCAGGCCTTAGGAACACGCCCATGGTGGGAGGGTGGCTGCAGCGTGGGGAGAGAGCCTGGGATGAGGCCGCCCAGCTCTACCTTGGGCAGGTCACTTCCTTTCCCGGGACCTGAGTCTGCTCACCTGAACAATGGGCACCATCAAGCGCTACCTTCCAGGACTGTCGTGAGAATCTGTGCAAATGTCCACAGTGCTGGGCACCTAGGGGACCCTCAGTAAAAGCCCTCAGTTGATGTGCTGAATTGTGTCCCCTCCCCCTCCCCAGATTCATATATTGAAGTTCTAACCTCAGAATGTGACTCTTTGGAGACAGGGTCCTAAAGAAAGCAATTCTCAAAGGAAGTATCGATGAGTAAGTTAACATGAGGTCATTAAGGGTGGATCCTAATCCAATATGACTGGTGTCCTTATAAGAAGGGACTAGGACACAGACACACAGAGGGAAGACCATGTGGGGACATGGAGAAGACGGCCATCTGCAAGCCAAGAAGAGAGGCCTCAGAGGAAACCAACCCTGCCGACACCTTGACCAGACATCTGGCCTCCAGAATTATGAGAAAGTAACGTTCTGTTGTTTAAGCCGCCTAGTCCGAAGTCCTCTATGACGGCGGCCCTGGCAGTCTAGCACAGACGATGACATTACGGCCTCACGGTGCTCCCCAGGGCCTCCCCACATGTACAGTGATCCCTCAGGGGCACCCCAGCACCCACGGTCCTGGCTCTTGCCAAGGGCACAGGTCTGGGCTGGGCAGAGCTGGGTTCTCTGCCCCTTCAAAGCTGTGTGGCTTTGGTCAAAGCACTTCACCTTTCTGAGCCCCCGCTTCCGAATCAGTAACAGAGCATTTTACCGTCTCGTACTGCGTGAGGACTAAGCAATCTGGCGCACGTAAGTGGCCCAGCTCATGGTGATGTTCACACCCTGAAGCAGTTATTATAACAATGGGATAAGGTTACCCAGGACAGAGAGGGAAGAGAAACTTTCTGGAGAACAGAGTGGGTGGTGATTCAAGGCGGATCCGTTGGCCCTGGGTGGGCCACAGGGCTGGGTTGACCACAACTGTGTACACTCTCCCTGAACCTGCGGCAGGGCCTGGGCCTGGGCGGGCTCCTGGTCGGCCATTCCCAGGTGGAGCAGGCCGTCGCTTCCTGCCAAGGGCACGGCTGTGTCAGGGTGAAGGATGCCTAGCTGCCCTGGTGCTGGGCCCGCCCGGCCAGTTTCCGGAGCTCATCCCAGAAGAGCATGCTGAGGATGGTGTGGGGACCCAGGCGCAGGTAGGTGGGGCCCAGACCCTTGTAGAGCGCCAGGGGGCCCTCCTGCCGCCAGATCTTCACCAGGCAGTCGGCGAGGCCGCCATACAGCCGGCCCTGGGGACAGACACAGGGCAGACATCACTACAGGCGTCGTGGGGACCTGGCTGGCACAATGGGGTGTGTCTGTGTGTACGGGCTTCTGTGGCACATCAGAAAGGGCACTCCCCCAAGCTCGGCAAATCACATAATAGTAACCCTTCGGTCTGTGAAAGTTAAAAAAGGGCCTCTTCCTCCAGGCAGCCACAGCCCCAGGCCAGGGGCTCAGCTTGGTTAGTGGCACGCGGGTGGATTTCACCGCTAACTCAGCCGGTGGAGGGCACCTCTGTGTTGGGCACACCTTGCACCAGTGTACGTGATGGCCCCTGTGTGTCTGTGAGGCTGGGGGGGTCAGGACTCGATTCCAGTTCAGTCTCCCCCACCTACTGGCTGCGTGACCTCAGGCAAGTCACTTGATCTCTCTGAGCCTCAGTCTTCTCATCAGGAGAATGAAAGTTGTTGTGAGGACAGAATAGAATCCAGGTGTGAAAATGCTTAGTATGTGCTTGGGACATAGGTGTTCAGCAAACAAGCCAAATTAATGTGTATGTGTGTATGTCACACTTCTCCGTGTCTCTGGCTCTGTGTGTGTGTGTGTGTGTGTGTGTGTGTGTGTGTGTGTGTTGGGGGATGCTGTCCAGCTCCCACGCCCTCCCCCACTCTGTCCCCTGCTCACCCTGCCCGCTCCATCCACAGGCTGATTGTACAGCCGCGTGCTGACCACGTCGAAGGGGGTCATGACTGTGACCACAGCTACGCTGCTGATCATGCCCCCGGCCAGGGCCACCAGCCAGCTGTCCTCTGGGAGCCACTGTGGGGACGTACAGGCTGCTGAGCCCTGTAGTGCCCTCCAACCCCCCACGTGGTGCCCACCCCATCCTCTCAGCGCCCGGGGACTGGAAGAGCTAGGGAAAGGGGGCAGATGAGGCCCCTCTGGCCACTACCCCCTCATCCCCCGCCACCCTGAGCTCCTTTACAGCTGGAGGGTTCACTGTGGACTCTCCACTCTTGCTGGACCCGAGGGCCAGAATCACGGCCCTGAGGGCAGAGTCAGGGCCCTCGGCTTTCTTAAGGGGCCTGTCACCACCCCCTGGGCTTCCCTGCGTGGGGTCCAGCTGGAGATGTGGAGGTGCGATGAGGGGCGCGGGTGTCCCCCGCTCCTTACCTGTTGCTCCTGCACCCAGGCCTTGGCGGAGGCGAAGGTGGCCAGCTGAGCAGCCGAGCCGACCATGACCCGGGGCACGGCCCCACCCACACCCTGCCACAGCCCCGCCAGGCCCCGCTGCCGCCAGATGGTCCCCAAGGCATCCAGGACGCTCTGCAGGGAGAGGGCACAGGGTCACCGGGCGGACCCTGCCCACCCAGGGGCCCATCCAGCCCACCCAGCCGGGGAAGCCCCGGGGAGTGCCGGTCCCCACCTGGTGAGGGTGCTGGTGTCCCACAGCCATCGCGGCCACCGTCTGGGCCTGCAGCTGCGTTTTGACCTGTGAGAGCAGGGGTGACACAGAGCCTGGGGATGGAACCTTAGAAGAGCCTGGACGAGCTGTGCGTGTTGAGGGCACCCCTCCCGGGGCCCTGACACCCAGACCTCCCTGAGCCCACACCTGCAGCTTTGGAGGTGTGTGTGTGTGTGTGTGTGTGTGTGTGTGGAATAGGGTTGGAGGTGAGGCTCTGGAGTTGGCTTGGGTCTGCATCTGGTTGTGACCTGGGACAATTTACTTAACCTTCTCTCGGCCTGCCTGCTCACCCTTGGAAGGCTGCTCTGGGGACCAAGAGAGATGATGACTGTAGCAACCAGGCTAGGATGTGGGGCCCTCTCTCGATGGAAGCTTTATGCTTAACTTGCACAGGGCACACAGGAAGACAAGTGACCACGTGGCCCTGAGCTAGCACACCTCCTGCCACCCTCTGCCCCCTCCCCGGGCTCAGGACCAATGGGGCGGGGGCCCCAGGGGAGCAAGGTTCAGGGCGAGGCCCTGGTGCCCTGGACCAAGGGGCAGATTCCAGGCCTGGGCAGGGATGTCCCGGGGAGCAGCCCCACCCCATCTGCTCCACGGAGGCCAGCCCAGGAGGCTGCAGAGCCCCCATGGGAGCTGGGTCCCAGGGTGGGAGCAGATGGAGACAAGGCACTCACCAGGTAAGCAGGGCTCCCCACGAAGGCTCCCAGTGCCCCTGCCACAGCGCCCGCGACCACGGTGCCACCCGGCTGCTGGGCGAGCCCGGCCTGGCATGCCAGGCTGTAGCAGTAGAAGCGGACGCCGTTCATGAGGCCCTGGTAGACGAGGCCGGCAGCCAGCCCCTTCTGCAGGCCGCACAGCCCGTCTGCACGGGCCACAGCGACGACGGAGGCCACAAAGCCCCGGTAGTGCCGAGGATAGGTGCCCCGGGCCTGCAGCTCCCCCTGCAGCTGCAGCCGCGTCTTCACCACCTCCAGGGGGTTGGTGAACACACAGGCCAGGCAACAGGCCGAGGCGCCCAGCACCAGGTCCACAGCTGGAGCCACCGTCTCCTTGGCCTCCGGGCCAGGGACCGGCTGTGCCCGTGTCAGGGGCATGGGCACGGGCCCTGGGGTGGCGGTGCTTAGGCTGTCTTCACTCCCACAGGGCCACAGGGCTGGGGATCGAGGCAGCCTGGGGCCATGTCTGGAGGGCAGAGGTCCGGGTCAGAGAGGCCGGCTGCTGCCAGGCGGTCTGCTCTATCTCAGGAGTTCACCTACTCTGCTCCTTCCTGGGAGCCTGGGACACGCCCCCGCCGGCTCCGGACCAATCCCAGCTGCCTACGTCCCCCACACCTCCCGGCCTGGGAGGGCCTGGACCCTGGGATCTGGGGGAAAGGTCACCTGGGCCCCAAGGGAGATACGGGAGGTGGAGGTGGGGGTGGGGTGGGGTGG